AGGCTGCATTTATTTGATCAAAAACACAGTAAAAAAAAAACAGTAATATTGTGAAATATTATAATAATAATTTCAATTTTCATCATCATTACTCCAGTCTTCAGTGTCACATGATCCTTCAGAAATCATTCTGATATGCTGATTTGGTGCTTAAGAAACAATTCTACTTATTATTAATGTTGAACAAACAGTTATGCTGCTTACTATTTTTTTCAGGATTCTTTCTTGAATAGAAAGTTCAATTTGAAAGAAATCTTTTATAACATTGTAAATGCGTTATTTGTCACTTTTAAATCAATTTAATGCGTCCTTGCTGAATAAAAGTATAATCAAAGAATTTCTTTGTAAAGAAACATGTTAATTTGTGCGTCACTGAAAAAATTAGATGGTAGACGTACGTGGTAAGTCTGTGTGTAAAGATGTTTTGTGCAAATTTTGTTCATGCCACTCACACAGAAACCCAGAAATACCAAGAGCATAATAAAGTCGTGCACTGTATCGAAAAGGAAAAGAGGGAGGGGAGAGAGAGAGTGATAAAAAGGGAGGGTAAAAAAAAAAACACACACAAAGCTGACTTCACTTGGAAAAGAAACCCAGCATTGTGCTCCAGCTCTGGACCAATGACGTCTTAGTGCAATCTGTATGTGTAAAATCATTTACTAAAGCAGCTGTGCTGTTGGCAAGAGCTAAAGTGACCCCAGTGCGCTTCACCTTCTTCTACTTTACACTCTTATCATTTGTTTATGTCTATGTCATCTCAATCCTCTCCAATAATATCATTATTTGAAGCTTTGAAAATGAACCTAAGAAAATAGAATAGATTTAAAGGGCACATATTATGGAAAACATCATTTTCTTTACTCTTTACTTTTAGTCTGGACACTTTTTGATTGAAGTCTGCATGAAACAGAAATTTACCCTGTGTATTTTCTAAATGCATATTATTGATCTTATTGTGAACAATTCATCCATGCATTTTTTTTTTATTGTATTTTTTCATGCCGGACTTCTCCGATCCTTTTGTCCGCATAAACCCAGCCCCTTTCTTACAATTGACTGCAAGCTTGGATTCAGATCTGTCTCCATCCAATCAACAACTGATGAAATGAACCAAGTCCCCTCATTTTTCCAGATAATCACAATATGGAAGAAATGATCTGTCGTTACTTCTGTTTCATAATGGATGAATTTCCATGATCTTTCCAGTCATTTGTGATTACTGAATTTTTAAAACCGTTTTAAGAGTGATTCAATAATAAATCATTCAGACTGATTTGTGAATCTGTTCAACTGACTCATTAAAAAGAACCAACTCAAAAGAATGATTCACTCACAAATGATTATGTTTATGATGTTACAAAAGTGAGGGTTATACTCCAAAGCTTTAAAGATGGTTAAGATGCTGTTTAATCCAGCACCCAGTAATGAATTCAGGATGTGATGAAACCTTGCCCTCACAACAGCTGGCTTCCATTTCTCATCTTTATCTATTCTGCTCCAAGGCCTGATCCTCTTCTCTGTCCTCCTCTCAGCCCTCTGTGCTCCATTTTCTCTTCACACATGGAAATATACAGATGAACATGTTCCGCTAAAGACAACCACCAATCTTTTAGCCACTAAAACAAACATAGGCTAGTATCTTCCCACATGCACAGATAGAAGGGAGCAGGGAGGGGCAGCTGGATCCTAAAGGGAAGAAATATGGGAGAAGTCGGAGAGAAGGAGCGGGGCTGGTTTTCCCTCCACTGAGGCGTCTCTGGAGACCCCACAGGATGGAGAGACTCCAATATCATTTTGTTGCTTGCAGCCTTAGAGAACAGCACTTCACAGAAAGTTATAATTAAAGAGTAACGTGAGACTTCATGAGACTCTTTTAAACTAAATTAGACGGAACAATTCAGATGTCAGCAATGTGTGCAATTTGAAATGAAGACGGCATTTACTGACTTTATTAAGTGAATATTTAAATAATAATAAAAAAGTAGTGAACAGAGAAATGCATTTATACTGGCTGTGATGTGGTCAGACGTACCCATGTAAAGATTTACATGCTAACCAAATTTTCATTCAAAATCCTTCATCTATTGTTACTATAGTAAAACTGTGGTAACTTGGTATAAGCTCTTAACTTAATTAAGAAATGAAAGTCTGCGTGAAATGAAAGTTGACTTTAGCTAGCAGTAAACTGGTGGTTGGAGGAAAATGGTAAACTTCAGTTTTGATGCGTACACTTAGCGTATGCGTACAGCTGAATCTGTAGTCTTTCGAAGTATACTGTCCGTCCAGCGTCAGGGACTTTCCAGAAGTTATGAGCAATATAAAAATTTCTTTGTACTCGTTTTTTGACTGTCAATGTGACAATGACTTTGGCCAGTGTTGACACGTTGTCAACAAACTGATTAGTTTAAAAAAAATTCAAGCTGTATATTAGAGCTGAGTGTACAGAGTTTGCACAATTAGAAAAATCTGTGCTTCTCTGATAAATTGTTTACTGGCATGAGAGCGGGACAACCTGTCACTCACATGAGATCACAGCAATAGCAAACCACAACAGTCCAAAGATCAATTTTCGATGGACAAAATCAAGTCCCACCCTACAGCTTTCACTTGGGATACACTTTACAATAGGAAAGAAAAGACTATCACAACTTCAGTTTCATGCTAACTAAAAAAAAAGTAAATAGGGCCAAATTTGATCCCACAGTGTCTACACTGGACACAAGCGCAATGTGATGCGACAGAATCAAAATGAACCCATTAAAGCAGTAACTGTCTACACTGGATGCAGTCCATTGAGTCAACTATACAGCAAGCCCCGTTCCATTTCTGAAATACTCCACATGCTTGCACTACTTTTGCCAACAGTACAAATATAGATTTTGAGTTTTTGATTTGACGCGTTTAGTGTAGACAGCCTTAAAGGCAGAGTAGGTGATTTGTTCCAGAAATTTTTTTTGTTATGCTGGTTAAAAGTCTCTTCCCATCCTGATAGCATTCACTAAGGTACGTGGTCTAAATGTATAATTTATATGTATTTATATTGACTGTGGGAGGCGTGGGACCATAAAATGTTCGTCCAAACACTGCAGTCGGTCCGATGTCCTACCTGCCTGTTAACATAGGTATTTTTATACCTCTGCGCATCCTGCTCGCACAGAAATCACACGTCATCAACTACTGTAATTTGGAAGAGATGGAAACCAGAGACGTTATACTCTGAGCGGTTCATGACTCAAATTTATGCGTTTCAATGGCAACACTATCAACGGTGAAATGAACCTGCAGCAGACAGGTGGTACAAGGTCAGTGCTCTTTAAGTTGTTTATGTTCATTATTATTGTAATGTTATGTGCTTTGAGATATGAGGTAGTTTATTGCTGTCTCATGAGATGCTTTTGTTTGCTCCCTGTTGTGTGTTCATGTGCTTTGAAGGAGACGTGGCTTTGGAGACGCTCTGAAGGGAGGGTGGGATCTTATGCTTTCAAAGCTAGTTCGGTATTGCTAGCCTCTCCAAAAAAGGTTTCACGGCACGACGCAAGCTCACAGAGTGTGAGCTGATCACTGAGCACGCATGATGATGAGATTGTCTGGAATTTCTTGTTTTATTATTTATTTTTTGCTTCAGATGGACACCCTCCCACAGGACTCCAAAAAGAGGTCAGTTTCTCTCTTCCTGACCAGACCCAGCAGGCCGCCTAAGGAATGCAAGCTCCAGGCCTCAGCAGTAAAACTCTGACTGGGCAAAATTGAAAGAGAGGAAGCGAGTAAAGAGAAAGAAAAGTGTTGAGCAGACAAGGGCACGTGGGCCATCACAGCTCATTCTTTCATACAATGCGGACAAAGACACTCTGAAGGGAACACCAGGGCGGGACCGAGGAGACGATTCACTCTCTCGGTCTCTCAAAAGGACAAAGGAAAGATACAGTTCACTTGTTTAACAGTAAACTTGGTTAACTGTGAGTACTGTGTATATGAGATCCATGCTTGTTGTTGATCTGAGGTTTGTGAGAACTTTTTTGCTGATTTTTTGCAGTAGTCAATTCAATTTTTGTTAAATCAATGGTATCTCATTGTTTCAATATCCCACTCCACACAGCTGTATATTAAACATCAAATATGTTCTGATTGGCTGTCAGTTTGTCACTTCCACTTGTTAATCAAATAAAAGGTTTATTGAGTTAAGGCCCGTTCACACCAGGAATGATAACTATAACAACATAGTTTTAATAGATGTTCCCTATAATGAGAATAGGGAAGTCCACACCACAAATATAATGATAAGGACACAGAGGAATGATATCATTGAAATCACTTTTGGAACGATTATTTTTCAGCTGATGAATGGAAAAAACATTGACACGGAGCCAATCAAAATTCACCCAACTTTAAAGTGCTTGAGTAGATATCATCCATTTGGTTGGACGCTAATAGTTATCGTTATAATTAACTTTATAGGTATTGTTCTTGGTATGAATGACCCTTTAAAAGTAAGTTAAGTAAGCACATGAACACAAAGACTTCCAGCTACACAAGGTCTATTTCACGCAAACAAATGTTTTTAAAATACTTCATAATGCAATGTACAAAGTACAAATATTCAATGTATTAAAATCACCCCAATTCATATGAGGTGTTGATTAGGTCTACACAACATTTGCGTACTTGTATAGAGTGTGTTTCTGTAATCGTCCAGCCAATAGCACACCCACATACAAGTTAAAATGAACTAAATCTCAGATTAAGTAGGGAGGTGAAGACTCCCTTCACAGAGATGATGTAACATCTTCTAAGCAGTGTTTTGATTCTGCAGAAGGATAATATTTACTTATCTTTTCCTGGTGGGTCAAGGGTGTTGATTACACTTGCGCTTTTTTTTTATTAGTCCTCTGGTTCTCATGCACTAGCCCCCACCCATGACACAGGACACACACAATCTCATCAGCGTGTCATCAACATCAGCAGCACAGATGCAGTAAACAGTCGTGAGAGTGGAAGCCTACCTCCTCTTGTGATGCATAGTTGGGAGCCGCTGGATCCACAGACCAGTAGCAGTAATCAAACCCAAACTCCATCAACTTCTCCCTGGAGTCAGCCAGTCCCTCCGACCGCCCGTCCAAACGTCCCTCCAACTATATAAAGGGAAAAAAAGAGTGATAAATGGGAGGTGGTTAGCAGGATAAACTAGATTTGTACATTTTCTGAAGAGCGGTGCTTCCTCCCGGCCACAGTACTGTTATGGGGTGCGCTTCCTGTACACTGATGTAACTCGCTGCTTAACCACCATATTACGATGCGTCATTGGAGAAACGAACTAGCTAGTAACGACTGTTTCCCAAAACTGTAGTAATTTTGTCACACATCCAACGTTCAAACCATGTTGGTTCAACAACATATACACTCACCTAAAGGATTATTAGGAACACCATACTAATACTGTGTTTGACCCCCTTTCGCCTTCAGAACTGCCTTAATTCGCGGTTGGACTATTGCAACTCTCTCTACTTTGGCATACCCAAACAGTCTATTGCGGGTCTCCAATTAGTACAGAACACTGCTGCAAAGTTCCTCAAAAGAAAATGGAAATTTTATCATGTTTCACCTATCTTAAAATCTCTGCATTGGCTACCTGTGCATTTTAGAATCGAGTTTAAAATTATTTTATTTGTTTTTAAATCCGTAAATAATCTGGCACCGAGCTATTTGTCTGAGCTACTCTGCCCACACAACCCCACACGAAACCTGAGGTCTGGTGATCAGAGACTTCTGTCTGTCCCCAGATCTCGGTTAAAGAATAGAGGGGACAGAGCCTTTGCTGTTGCTGGCCCTAGGCTGTGGAACAGCCTTCCGGTTTACATCAGAGCTGCTCAATCTGTAACTGTTTTTAAATCCTCTCTTAAAACCTTTTTTTTTTTTTTTAGCTTTTAATTCATTGTGAGCTTCTGTCATGAATGTGTGGTTTGTCCTTGTTCTTTATCTTGTGTATTGTTCAGCACTTTGGTCAGCCCTGTTTGCTGTTTTTAAATGTGCTATATAAATAAATACAAACTTGAAACTTAATTCTACGTGGCATTGATTCAACAAGGTGCTGAAAGCATTCTTTAGAAATGTTGGCCCATATTGATAGGATATCATCTTGCAGTTGATGGAGATTTGTGGGATGCACATCCAGGGCACGAAGCTCCCGTTCTACCACATCCCAAAGATGCTCTATTGGGTTGAGATCTGGTGACTGTGGGGGCCATTTTAGTACAGTGAACTCATTGTCATGTTCAAGAAACCAATTTGAAATGATTCGAGCTTTGTGACATGGTGCATTATCCTGCTGGAAGTAGCCATCAGAGGATGGGTACATGGTGGCCATAAAGGGATGGACATGGTCAGAAACAATGCTCAGGTAGGCCGTGGCATTTAAACGATGCCCAATTGGCACTAAGGGGCCTAAAGTGTGCCAAGAAAACATCCCCCACACCATTACACCACCACCACCAGCCTGCACAGTGGTAACAAGGCATGATGGATTCATGTTCTCATTCTGTTTACGCCAAATTCTGACTCTACCATCTGAATGTCTCAACAGAAATCGAGACTCATCAGACTATAGGCAACATTTTTCCAGTCTTCAACTGTCCAATTTTGGTGAGCTCTTGCAAATTGTAGCCTCTTTTTCCTATTTGTAGTGGAGATGAGTGGTACCCGGTGGGGTCTTCTGCTGTTGTAGCCCATCTGCGTGTTGTGCGTTAGGGGTGGGAATCTCTAGGCACCTCACGATTCGATTCGATTACGATTCAGAGGGCTGCGATTCGATGCTAAATCGATTATCAGAATCTTTTTTTTGTGTGTGTGTGACTATAAATACTTTGCTTTAAAAGTACAAAGTAATGACCCATAAAGAATTAACGTACAATATATTTTATTAACATTGCAAAGAACCAACAGGAAAATACATGTGTGTCAGAACTAGCAGCAGCATATTTGTAGTAAATTAATAATATAACAACGACCGGTAACGTTACAGCCGAGTGTTTTTCCTCCTCTGGCTGGAAACGTGTCATTTGGCTTCATGTGTCTTGTTTCCGAAATATTTTAGTTTTACTCTACAAAGCTTACAACTAGTGTGGCTCTTGTCCAGCTCCTTTCCCCCTTCAACTTCAGAAGCCAAAATATTTCCACACGTCAGCTTTTAACGAGGAGGGTGTTTGGATTTGGCGCTCAGCCATCGCGTCCGCGTCTGTTATGTGCACGCCACAGACGGCCCGGCCACTGCACTTCCGCGCTTCAGAGTTCCGTCTTTCGCGTTCCGTCAATATTACGTTATTATAAATATATATCTTAAACATTTTTTTTTTTTTTTGAACATCGATTTTTGACAATTGTGAATCGATTCAGAATCGTCCACGTCCGCATCGCGATGCATCTAAGAATCGATTTTTTCCCCCACCCCTATTGTGCGTGTTGTGGCTTCACAAATGCTTTGCTGCATACCTCGGTTGTAACGAGTGGTTATTTTAGTCAAAGTTGCTCTTCTATCAGCTTGAATCAGTCGGCCCATTCTCCTCTGACCTCTAGCATCAACAAGGCATTTTCGCCCACAGGACTGCCGCATACTGGATGTTTTTCCCTTTTCACACCATTCTTTGTAAACCCTAGAAATGGTTGTGCGTGAAAATCCCAGTAACTGAGCAGATTGTGAAATACTCAGACCGGCCCGTCTGGCACCAACAACCATGCCACGCTCAAAATTGCTTAAATCACCTTTCTTTCCCATTCTGACATTCAGTTTGGAGTTCATTAGATTGTCTCAGGACCACACCCCTAAATGCATTGAAGCAACTGCCATGTGATTGGTTGATTAGATAATTGCATTAATGAGAAATTGAACAGGTGTTCCTAATAATGATCTTTAGGTGAGTGTATGATGTTGATGCCATGCAGTTGGTGGAGGTAAAACTTCTGCTAATTATTTGGTTAGAGATTGAATTCATGTCAGATTATTGCTGTAAATAATGACTAATTCGCCATTTCTGTTTTCTGGGGCTTTTTTTACCGATTGATTCAATGGCAACACTATTAACGCAGAAATGAATCTGCAGCAGTCAGGTGGCACAGGTCAGTGCTCTTTAATGATGGGATGAAAGATATAGATTGTACTGCATTATAGCTTGCTTATTTTGCTCACTAATATATTTAACTCCATGTTATACTGACAAGAAACGACGCTTCTAACCACAGGTCGAGAGCTGTAGTTCAGAACACAACTGCGATGCTGTTTGCGAATGTTTGTTGGAACTAGTTTCGGGAAACAATGTTTCTATCAATAGAAATTGCGAACATAGCTGGCTAACACTGGTTCTGAGAAAACGCACCCCTGGGTGGTTGCCAGTGAGGTGTGTTATGCAGTTTCTAGGGTGTTAAGAGTGTTTTTTATGGCATTGCTATGCAGTTGCTAACTCAACAAGCCATGCAATTTAAGGTACATGGTAAAGTGTAATACTCTGGGTTAGTGGTTTATTGAAATCCCCAAGTATGAGCAGTAGTGATATTTAACAACTTCACTAAAACACAAATCATATTACATCACATATAGTCACTGGCGCCAGTGATATCATGTTTTCTGTTAAAATGATTAAAGCGGTTTCACATACTCTTCGTTATCCAGCCAGCCAAGTTTTCTATTATAGCGTTTTCAAATACAACAACACTCATAACAGCTGATAACCATTAATTATGATCACTTCTGATTAAGTGCTGCCACAAACTACATTACAGTCCATTGAGAAAAGTGATTTTTCCATTGAAAGTCTGTTTAGTCCATTTAATCAGTTACTAGGAGACAAGCCCTTTATGTGTTCAATTTTTCTACTAATAATATTACAGCACACTGATGCCAAGAAGCAAGGCTGTGTGCCTGTAGCCTACGCCTGCGATACTCTTCAGTGCACTTAAAGACAACAATTAGGAAGTAGTTAGGCTGGGGGACAAATGACTTAAGCATTTGAGCATGACCTGACTGTCAGCATCAAGTTATTACCCAGATCTCAGCAAACAGATATCACATAAACCTCAGCAGTTTATTCGCCCAGTCAAACAAATCTTCACTGCACAGCGTGTGCATTTGGAGGAGCGTGCAGAAACATGCCCGGGCATCGCCAGCCTATCACCACGACAACGTTACTTTTGCTGCTCTGGTGTGTAATTATTCACAAAATGGCAATCCCGCAGCTGACTTAATGACCTCACAATATGGCCCACAGCTACACTAATGAGCCCTAACATTGCACTCAGCACTGTTATATTTAGGCTCAATAATAATACACAAAATCAGATCTGATTATATGGCCATGCTCCAATACTGGTATCCTGAAACAATATGAAACATAAGTTTACTCCATGCTAACTAGTATTTTCTTCCCACAGCGGCACTGGCAGACCGGCTGAACCATCGTGAGACAGGCGGGAAGAGTCGTCGCAATAAAGAAGACATTTTCCTTTAAGCATGTGGTTTTAAGATGATATGTATTTGCTTGTTAGTGTTGTATACTACTACTACTACTACTAATTAAGTACTTTAACTTCTCAAACTTATCATTTCCACTGGCACAATGTGTTACTGTGATTTTACTGGTATGGCTGTAATTGTATTTTGTTCATTGATGAAATGTGGTTAATATGCTGGTAAATCTGTATATTTTATTAAAGTTCAGCAATGAAATGTAAAAGATTAAACCTGAATAAAGCTGTTGATGTGAACCAATAACTTGTGTTGTTGAATATATAACAGTAAAAAAAAAAAAAAAAAAAAAAAAATAACAGTATAATGCTGTACTTTATTTGACAGTGTGCTTAAAACTAATATAGTCCGTTTTACAGTAATTTTACTGTGGTTTAAAAAACAGAAGTTTGCTGGCTTCTATACAATGGAAGTCAGTGGTCACCAAAACTGTTTGGTTACGACAAGGTTTAACATTTCTTATTTTGAGGTCTGCAAAATGAAGAAAGTCATATCGGTTTAAAACGAGGGAGTTAATGAGGGAGTTAATTATGACATCTATGTGCTGGTTGGGAAAAATGCACCACTTTAGTACTTAACTTTAAAAATCATACTATTGTACATGAAACTGTAGTATGTTCAACGTGTCAGAGCACATGTGTTAAAAGCTAGGCCTTGTCTCTGACAACATGATTTTGTTTCAAGATGGTCATATAAAACCAGATCCTAACTTTTTACTGAAAAATAGATGAAGATAATAATGCATCTGATCTTTCATATTCCCTTGGACCTCTGTATTCTCATTCAAATGTTATATTAACAATTTAAAAGAGGTTCTGTCGACTGACACACATTGGGCTCAAGGCATTCATCAATGTGACTGCCTTCTGGCCCGGGACCCGGGAAGGTGTGCAGCATGAACAAATAATACAATGTCAATTTGTGTGTGTCTCTTATGCTGTTTTAATTTCTGTATGAAGTCTTCCTGTCAGCTTTCCACGCCTGTCTTTTGTTCGTTTATGTGAGGCCATCTTTTCCCTTGAAAACTGTCCTACTTTCTTTAAATAACTAGTGGAAAGCAAGTCTTTGTCTTGCTCGCGTGCTCACAGCAGGTGACCAGATGTGGCTCCTGCTATGTCATTAATCCATTAATCAAGAACTGCAGTATTTCCTGCTTCAGAAGTAAGAAAGTAGGCTATGCATTTGTCTTTACATTTAGACACACATTCTTATTTAAATTTAAATAAAATGTCTATTTTTTCTTATTACATACACTACCATTCAAAAGTTTGTGGTCGGTAAGATGTTTTTAATGTCATTGAAAGAAGTCTCTTATGCTCAGCAAGATCTTTATTTTATCACAAATACAATAAAACAGTATTATTGTGAAATTTTCTATTTTAAAATATTTAAAAAATGTATTCCTGTGATGAAAGGCTGAATTTTCAGCATCATTACTCCAGTCTTCAAATGGACTGCATTTATATAGCGCTTTCACAGACCGAATGGCCACCAAATCGCTTTACATATTGCCTCACATTCACCCATTCACTCACTCATTCATACACCGACGGCGGTGTCAGCCATGCAAGGCGCAATCCAGCTCGTCTTGTTCATGGACACCTCGACACTTGGTCAGGTGGAAGCGGGGATTGAACCACCAACCTTCCAGTTTGTAGACAACCTACATGAACCACTGAGCCACTGCCAGGGTCACATGATCCTTCACAAATCATTATATAGCCTACTGATCTGTTTAATATTTTTGTGGAAACCATCATACATTTTTCAGGATTCTTTGAGGAGGAAAAAAAAAAGAAAAAAAAAGAAAAAGAAAAAAAAAGCATTATTTAATTTTAATGCACCCTTGCTAAATAAAAGTGTTTATTTCTTTAGATAAAAGAATTATGTATACATCTTACTGACCGCAAAATTTTAAACAATAGTGTACATTTTTATTTTATTATTTTGGCCTGTAGTTATCACCGAAACTATTTGGTCCAGAAGCAGTTCATCTTAAAAGTTATCCCACTGATCAGGTTTTGAAGCTCTTTAGTGAAGAATGAGGTGTGGAATGACATTAGAAAGTGTAAGGCAAGAGTGCTGCTTGTTTAGGCATTTGGGGTTTCCAAGAAGAAAGCGATAATTGCATGGTGCTGCTATTTGAATATGTTTATTCAGTTCATACATGCATAAATAAACAACTGAGTAATCCAGCAGGAAGAGAATAATTTTCACTATAAACTTCCTGTCACTGAGATACTGCAAATAGCTGTCTAATCCTGACACTGACTCCTATTACAACAAATACTTCTTTTTTGCTTTCACTATTCATTAATCCCTCCATGTTCTAGCTTGTACTATTCTACACTTCTCATCATAGATATGTATACGTAGATTCCACATTCGACCGCTCCAGACACGGGGGGCGCCCGCCATCTTGGAACGGCCAAAGTGTCGTCACTCACAGTAAGAATCAATGAAGCCGCAACATTGCATAGCTTCTGGTTGTAAAACTACCCTGAAGAAATGGGATAACCTGATCACCTTTCACAGGTGAGAATGTGTTGGTTTGTGTTTTTATATGTATTAACACATATTACAGGTTTTTAAACTATGGTAACTTTTTAATGTTACGTTAGCTAACGCAATTGTCTTGTTGTATTGTGTAAAGGCCCCGATATACTCACGGCGAAGTTCTTTTACGTTCTTCGCTTGGGGTAAAAAGAAGTTTGAAAATCGCGAGCAGCGATATACTGTATCAGATATAGATATTCATACATGCGTCTAACTACAGTTGCAGACTCACAGTCAACTCGCTCTCTCGGCTTTGACCAATCCAAGATGGCAGATGACTTGGGTATTGCGGCCCAAATAAACAGCCGCAAATGAGGCATCTATGTATACACGTCTATGATTCTCATGTGTATTGCCTCTTTAAGATCGCTTCATGTATTCCTCATTAAAGGATCTGCTAAATTAATAAATGTTAATGTAATTTAATGTCAATAACTGGTATTTCTGTGTTTTATAAAAGCAGGTACTTTCTGACACCATAAACTTTTAAACTGAAGGATTTCTCAAAATCTTTCAAAAATAAGGCTCAAAAAATAAATAAACATGAATTTACCTTCACATTTCGGACCCTCACCACTTTGTCCTTCACTTGTACAGCTAACCGTCCTCCATCCAGACTCTCCCTGCAGAACAAAAACAAACAGACTGATATTCAAGACACTGTACAGAGCACTGCTAAGTAAACATTTACAATACAAGCATATTCATTTTCTTTTATATACTAGTTCCTTATTAATAAATGATCACTGTTAAAACACACTAAAAGATCGAGGTGACACCATATCCCAACAAGACGCAATGCGATGAGATTCCAGTGACAAGCAATTTGTCTGTCCAAAACCAGACGTGACGCGACTACTAGACGTGACAAAACCAATCAAAATTACAGCCAATCAGAAGAGCGTGTGGGCGGAGTCTCTCTGCAAACACACTGCAGTTGCAATGAAATAGATAATCAAATTCATAACTATTACTACATCATTTGAACATTATTAAAAATACATACTGAGTGACTGAAACAATCTTTGTCATAGAATGCACTTGTTTGTTTACATTGAGTTGACAGAACATTCTTGTTTCCTTTTATTTATTTTCAAGATCTGAGGTGAATTATCCATTGTTGCTTTCAGTATGGCTATAAAGGGCACGCAAAATGATATTCAAACTAACATTAGATGCTTTTAACATTAAATAAAGTGTATGGATCATTCCTGGTATTCGGTGCCTTTTGGCCATCATAAAATGTAGAAAATCAAACTTAGTTCATTTAAATTATGTAAATAAATTGTGTAGTCATGATAGGGTGATGTAAAACATTTAAAAAATGATTTTGGTCAAACTCAGGATAATTTGATTATTCAAAAGTTTGCTGTATGTACGATTTTTTAAAAGAAATACCACTTTTATTTACCATGGACTGATTAAATTGATCAAGTGACAGTAAAGCCATTAAACAATGTTACAAAAATATTTCTATTTCAAATAAATGCTGTTCTTTTAAACTTTCTAAAAAAAGAATCCTGACAGAAAATTGAATCATGTGCCATGCGGCAAGATTCGTTTCTGCACATAATTTTTTCCCCTAAAGATAACAGACTTAATTTATGTAACTTTTCTGTTTTTATATTGAATGGTTTCAATGACTCCAGGTTAACATTGAGCTTTCTAAAACCCGCAGAGGCATGTTTATTTGGCTGTGATCATATCCAGCCCCATATTCAGACAGGGCAGCAGAGTGAGAGGCCAGGGGTCTGCAGGATTCGTCCGCACAGAGAAGGTCAGTTTTAAATGAAAACAGAGCGCTGAAAAACTCCTCCATGAGACGCACAGCTGAGCTGAAGCAGGTGTGTGAGTGAGCGTGCAGGATATGTGTGTCAGTGTGTGAGAGAGCAGCGAGGACAGCTGTTCAACCTCTCCAGTATCGGGTTCCAGATAAACTGATGCAAGAGAATGAAATCCAGTGTAGGAGCATGGCTGTGTACAAACCTGAAGTCTGACATTGTGAGCAGGCTGGGGAAGGCCTTGTCATTTACACTGCATCCTAAAGCTAAAGTGTGTCATTTTTCAATGTTAAAAAATATGTTTTCTTCCTATCCAGCTCAATGTGCAAACACACACACACATACACACACAACTATAAGCAAGTCACTTGTATGTGGACTTTCGTACTGTGACTCTGTGGCACTTTCAAAACACTGCCAACGTCTATTTCTTGCTCAGTTTGGGGTGGAACAACCTGTTTGTTGTTGATGTTTTTATGTAACCACAAAAACATGAAAAAGGCGGTATATAAATTGAAATCATCAAACATTAAATGAGAAACGAGATATTCTAAACACAAAATAATGAATAATGGCTCAACCAGTAGAGCGTGGCGCGAGAAACGCCATGTTCATCATGGGTTTACTTCCCAGGGAACTGAAATAAAATGTACACCCGTGAATGCAATGTAAGCTGCTCTGGATAAAAGGCAAAGCGTCTTCTAAATGCATAAAAAATGTAAATAATATTTAATAAATTATTATTTAAAATTATTATTAGTGATGCACCGATATGAACATTTTGGCCGATACCGACAACCGATAATTCTTTATATTTGAAAGCCGATAACCGATATATTGGCAGATAAATCTAAATCCAAATTTTAAAATACTTTGAGAGCCTGATTACAAATACAAAGGCTCACCGTTAAAAGCCAAATCATACAGGGGAAAAAATAGGGGGGGGGGGGATACTATGAAAGTCAATGGCTACTGTCAACTGTCTGGTTACCAACATTCTTTAAAATATCTTCTTTTGTGTTTAACAGAAGAAAGAAACTCATACAGGTTTGGAACAATATGAGGGCGAGTCAATGATGACAGTTTTCATTTTTGGGTGAACTGTCCCTTTAAGCAATGGACTCATCCACCGAAGGCTGGGAGCTTGTTATGAAGCTCTTATAGCTTGTGTAGTATATGGGTCTGTTTTACTCTGTCAATGATGAATGAAGGCCCTGTCCACAACCACAACAACCTACCTCGCCTGTCAGTGTGTGTGTGCGCATACTTCTGCCTAGAAATGCTGCATTTTATGACATAGCCTAATCAGTGGAAAGGAAAAATAACTCTCGTTATGAGGAAAGCATGTTTACAGACTTGGATTTCTGTGCCGTTCCCACACAATTCCTGCCATCTCCAGCAATGAGTATTAGTTTGTTTCCAGCTGAATAGCTGAATTCAAAAAGAAGGCAAAAAGAAGTTGTATTTCAAGCATTTGACAAAAGCAAAAAAAGTGCAGAGTCAAATATTTCTAATTCACATGCTCATAAAAACCAACGGCTGCCTATTATAAGGCCATCTTCATTAGCACAATAGTGTTGGAAAGCCATGAAGTCGTCCTTTGTGATGCACGCTTCAGGGAGACTCTTTAAATGTCAAGGCTAGCAGAAACGGCCAAACACACGCACACATCTTTGTGTCTAAATTAAATCTGGGAGGAGTTTCTTTACCCCCCTGTCCAGCACCCACATACTGTAGTAATTTGGCTAATGCTGGAGGGTGGGGCAGTGGGCTCTCATGGGGCAAACTCTGTGTTTGAATACCCCCATTTTTAAAAAGTTAAAGAAAAACACATGCTTTGGATTTTACTAACACAGCATGCATAACATTTGTACTGCAATTTTGTGAAAATGATAAAAACAAGATATTGAAGTCATACAGTACCAGATAAACTTTTGGGGGAGGGGTTTTAAGGGGATTGAATGAGATTTTGGAGATTATAGTAATTTATTATGCACAAAACACATAGTTCTCAAAACAACTAAACATGCACTGCTGATACATTATCTCCATTTATGCACTGCTTTTGCAGGTTTTTGAAGAGGCTATGATTTATTTTTTTAATCTCTGAATTGATGCATGTTAAAACTTAGACATTACATATTAAATACATATGCAATATAATGAGATGTATACAAAGATCAAGCAATGGTTTTTTTTGAATGGCAGCTTATTTGTGTCAGTTGGCTGTCAGCGCAGGCGGTCTATTCCCAATCCCAGACATAGCAACAGTACAACAACTCAAGGATGTTTATGTACTTCATACGACCTCATTCAGCAGTTCTTGTCATGTACTTTTACAATTAATTTCATATAAGATCCATTAAGACTGGTCGTACCTGGAGTTCAGCGGACGGACTCGAATCGCGACTTTCACGTTTGCCATTCGCTTGACACCGGGCGGAGGAGGGAAACGATGAATTGAAGTTCAGCTGTCCGTTAGAGTCCATTTATTAAATGTCTCCACAGCATAGAATTATCCCGAGCAGAGTAGTGAAACCGAATACACGTTTTTCGGGTCATGTTATTGATATCGTCTAGACAATCACAGTCACAGAGCACATTATGAAGCCGTGGCCGCAGTTGAACTGCGCTAAAACTTCCTGCCGTCTCTTCAGGAGGGGGAGATTACGAATCCTACTATAGCGAAGGCTCTGCTCATGAATATTAACAGTGTAACGTGACGTTAGTTCAATAGTACTTCCTGATTTGCTGAACGAGTTAGCTTACTTTGCAAAAGGCGTGGCTTCTAAACATTCATGATTTGTTTACCTGTTTGTTACTAGTCGCTCTGGGAAGGAGCGTTCAGTAGGTCGTTAACATTAATGAGCTCAGCCATCGCCATAGTAGGAAACTAGGGCAAGAGAAACAAAGGCGAAGTGCTCGCCTGAACGCACACGTTAACTGCCTGCCTGTCTCTGCTTTACTCAAACCCCGTGTAGTCATTAAGACAATTGTTTTGAAACAAATCAATATTTTTATTCGGCAAGGAATAATTAAATTGAACAAAAGTGACAAAGAATTACAAAATATTTCCATTTCAAATAAATGCTGTTCTTTTGAATGTCCGAATATGAAAAATTTGAACAAAAAAGGGACTCAGACGTTCACAAAATCACATTTTATTACATTAGATAGGTTTAGAATTATACAGATAATAAAATTGTACAACATGAACAAAGTGCAAATTTTTCACATATATATAGACTAAGAAATGCATACAAACCAACAAGCAGAAAAAACATTAACAAACACTTAATAAATAAATAGAATTTAATGAAAAAGAAGCACAGTGAATGGTCGTTATCATGTTTTACTGCGAGGCAGTATGAGTGAAAATTGGCAAAGCCCTGTTAAAATTTCCCACAAAATGTTTTGAAGATTTATAATCAATGACTGGTCTATCAACTCAGCATTTTTGAGCAGCAAATATTCTCCTTGCAACTAATAATAAATCAGATTTTAAAATATTTTTAAAATCATATATATTGTAGGGTTTAAACATTCTTTCTTTTGTTCAAATATGCATCACTCATTGCCTATTCATACAATAGTGTTTGGCTGTGATTCATGTGTAGAGTTGGTAATGTCGTCACGTGTCCCCCTAGTGGTCATTGAGAGACCTGCAGTATGTCCCTGTGGTTTGGCAGTGAAGGCACTGGGAACTGCGTGGTCAGGGAGAGCTGCTGAAACTTCTCTACAGACTCCTACAACAGCAAATGAGAAAAGCCATCAGAGAGCAATTTGTGAGAATTCCAGCCTTATAACTTATAGCATATGTAAGAAGCTATTACCTCTGGCCAAGATAACGCTGACAACTTTGGCCAGTTGATGCCCACTTCCTCCTCTCCTAAAAGACCTCTCTCTATTAGCTGTCTTATCAGGAACAGGTAGTCAGTCCTCTGTAATATTAAAGGATAAACCACTGTTTAACCAACACTGTTGCTGTCGTCAACTAAAACTAAACCTATTAAAATGGTTTTCAGTAATAATTAAAGCTAAAATAAAATTGTGTATAAATATAAAAAAATGCAAAAAATTAAAAAAAATTAGAAATTTAGTCTATATATATATATATATATATATATATAGACTAAATTTCTAATTTTTTTTAATTTTTTGCATTTTTTTATATTTATACACAATTTTATTTTAGCTTTAATTATTACTGAAAACCAGTATATATATATATATATATATATATATATATATATAAAAAAAAAATGACATTACAAAGTTACTAAAACAAACTAAAATTAAAATGAAAACTGAAAATATTAAAAAAAAAAAAAACACAATTGAAAATATATAATTAAATATTAAAATAGTATATAAATAATATTAAAATAACACTTAAATCACAAAAAACATTTACAGCAATATTTCCACAAACTGCACACAGGATAAGAATGTAACAGCTCGACAAAACTGCATCAACACCACCAAGGTTTGATCAGCGGTTTTACCTCACTATCTGTGGCACTAAAAATGGCAGTCAGGGTGGGTTCACTGTAGAGAAGATGCAAAGGTGGAGAGGGAGCCCGAGTCCACAGAATTAAAAACCTTTCCAGTAGAGCAGGTCTCTTGTTCCCCTCGGCTGAAAACACCAGAGGAAGCTCCCCAGATACTGCACATGGAAACAAACCCAAACAGACACAATAGGGTATTAATCACTTTGAGTATTGACTTCATGTACCATTCTCAGTTTTCCATTAATTGTCCTCTCACCAAGTTTGCAGGCCAGCTGAACAGTACAACGCAACAGCATCTGCTCGACCACAGGAGAGAGGAGCTAAAAAAAAAGACCAGGACACAGGACAGAATTTGTAAGAAAGGTAAACTGTTCTAAATAAAGGACTAAAAACATTGAATGATGTGGATTAAAAGAAAAAGTTGAGTCAAGTTAGTACACTTGGGTAGTATGGGGGGTCTGATTACTTTTCGGCATCCAAGTGTTTGTCCCACTCTGTCCAGCAGAGACTCAATCTGATGAACAGTGAAAACCTCCTCATCAGACCTGGGTCCTACAGACACACTCAGAACCTCCTGAAACATGGGACAAAATTATTTGAGATCTGACCCACTTATATTTTAAAATGACTGTAAATTACCTTAGGTTTGCTTATTGCTGTCTAGTCCAGGCTAATTAATTGGACAAGTTTCATGATACTGCTGGTCATTAATTCCAATTGATTAATTCCAAATTCTACTGATAGACAGTGTCATTGGTAAACAGTATTATATACTATTATAATATTTAATAATAATTTGAAATAGCCTTTATTTTCATTTGTGATTTGTATTAGTTGTTTTTAATATTTCTATTTAGTTTTTTTTTAATTCAGTTTTAGTCACTTTAGTACTTCAATTCAAAATTTCTAAACTTGAAGTTTTGTAATTTATATTTTATATTTATATAATTGTAACTTCATTACAATTAACAAAAACACTATTTTAAATGATTAAGCTTAAGTTTAATTAACAATTACAACACTTCTGATGGCCTTGTCCAAGAATAAAGAAACATTTGATTGTTTAGCAAGTTTGACTGTGAATAATGTGTTTGATTTCAGCAGTTTTGTGGATGTCTCATTTCTCACTCAAATTTTATTTTCAACCACCCTTCTCAATGAATCCATAAAAAAAAAAAAAATCCCAATAATCACCTTAACTTCAATAATGACTTCTGATCCAAGTGGAACCTTATGGTTGCAGTCTGAAACACATTCTGAGGCACTCCTCTGGACCTGCTGACTCTTGCTTGATCCCTCACCCTCTTCGGCATCCAAACTGAAGGTTGAGGGCACACTCTTAATCACCCTCTCAAACGCACTCTTCCACTCTCGCTTTAGAAGTGCTAAGGGAGACATTCATTCAGGAATATTTAAGATCCCTAATATTAAAAAAGCCTACAAAATATGTAATAAGTCTAAATGGAGAATTTGTCATTTTAAAATGAGAATAAAATTAGGCTTCACTACTTGTGATGTTGGAGGACAGCCAGCTGCAAGCCTTTTCTGTAGCCAAACGAGTGGTGATGCTCTCAGCTGTGGTCAGGACCTAAACCACACCACACAAAAAAAAAAAGGGGGGGGGGGGGGGGGAATCATATCTCTAAGTAAATGATCTTAAAGCATTTTTTTTTTCTAAAATTAACCACAAAATATGAGATGACAAACAAGAGATTCACTGTACAGCAAAATTCCACCCAAGACCCATCTCTTTGTTTCTACAGAGTATTAAGTGGATTGAATTAATGAAGAGTGACTGTTTAACTCACAGAAGGAGAGGTCTCCAGAGGAAGAAGAACTCGGACAGCTCCAGGGGCATTCTCACTGCAGAACCTATCATGGGAGATGTGACTAGTCCAAAACATGTCGTACAACATGATGTATATGTAATGAGAGAAGAGAGCTGCTGACCTGGTGGCTCTCTCCAGAGTCTGCATGCTTGCGTCACACAGCTGTGCACAGATAGAATCGTTTAGTTTGGCCGTGTTGACACCCTCCAAACCCAAACTATCTCTGAGAGTTTTCTCTCCACCCTTCACAAGCTCCAACACAAGCGTAGCCCTGCCACACACAGAGTTAGGAAAATATGAAATGATGAAACGCAAATTCAAATTGATTTACATGGACTAACAGGCAGAACGAGCCAAAAAGACTGCCAAAATGGTGGGAGACTGACTTGATGTGTTTGACGCAGTTGGAACCGACTCTTTCCGCAACAAACTCTACAGTGCGTCTGAGAGATGGGGGCTGGTTGTGAAAAAAGGCCTGTTCCAAATCGACCTGTTAAAACACATGGAAAAACATGGACTTCTACACATGGATGACATGATCTCAATTCTTCAACAGATGGAAGGCATTTGCTTGCAGCGTACCTGAAGTTTCTGTTGTGAACGGGTGGTGGAGGGTCCCCTCAGTTCTGCAGATGTGGGGGTGATCTTGCGAATCAAGCCTCCGCTTTTGGACGTGCTACCAGCCACAAAAGCAGCGAGAAGTTTACGAAACTCCCCTGCAAAATTAATGGTGTAGAGGTAAAATCACCCTCAACAGGAATTTATTCCAACCGAAACTTAGTAAAAGACATAGTTAAGAATTTTTTTTCCAAACAGTCCACTCTCACCTAAATATGGACAGCAAGTTAAGAGAAGCTGTTGGTCCACTAATGGGAGGGTGTCCTTAAAAGAAAATATACAGTATTATACACATTGTGAAGGAAAAGGAAAAGATAAATAAACATTTCTAAACAGCTAAATGTATCCAGAGCAGAAGATCAGTGTTCCACTAACCAGCCCCTGACAGCTTGTATTATTCTCCAGTTCCATGATTTCTTCCTTTAGATCTGTGCTGAAGAAGAGATCTTCAGGGAAGATTGGGATCTAAAATAGGGACAGCAACAGAAAGATTTGACAGGCTCATAACCCACCTCTTTGTCCAGGCTGTATGATTTGGTCAATAACCAAAAAAAATAAATAAATAAAATAACCAGTGTATGCAGAAACAAACTATCAAATGATACCAGTCCCGTTTTGCCCATTTTTTGCTGTTATTTACCAAACCCTGCAATCTCTTTGCATTCACACTGGCCTTGACCATA